TTCTCCTTTTTCCGGCTGTTGCTCTTCTTTGATGATTACATATGTTCTTCCTTTCCAGATATTATGAAGGCTGGTCATAACAATTTCTAGGCTGGTCTTTTGTTTCCTAAATGTATCTTTCAAAGATATCATTTCTGTCATGTTGCCCCTTATGCAAGGGGTCATTCTCCTATTTTAGTTTCTGGAGTTATATAGCTTCCTCAACAGAATTGCACATATTAGTTCCATGTTCAGAGCAGAGTTCCAAGCAACAATTTCAACTCTGTTTAAGCTGTGCTCAAGGATACTGCCTTTGATGGCTCTCAGAGGTGATGTTGAGTTTTTAAGTGACAGGTCTGTAAAAATACCAGGAGGATAATCCAATTTTTTATTCTCTTCCATATTTCTTTTTTGGTACTTAAACATTCTTCTCTTGTGCTTCCCTCCTTATAAATTAACAGGGAAATAAAACAGACTGTTTTAATGAATTTCTTATGTAATGTTTATATTGTATGTTTAATATATTACATGCATTTTTGCTTTAGATACTGAAATTAAACACATTAAATATAAAGTGAGTTGGGGTATAACTCTTTTTAATTCAAAATTTATTTAAGTCTGGTCCACACCTACATTAGGATCACTTGAGGCCTATTAAAAATCATATTTCTGTGCTTATTCTAGATCTACGAAATCAAAATTTCTGTCAGTAGGTGTTAGGAATATATTTTATAATACTATTATATAATATATAAATGCAAATTCTTATATATAATATGTAAATATACTATATGTAAATGATTGTCTCCATGTGCTTCTTATGAAAAGTTAAACTTTAGTATGATTAATTCATCCCTAAAGCTAAATATTCCATTGCTTCCTTTTTTAGCTATACAGGAAAAATAAAGTGGACAATTTAGACAAGTGACAATTAACTTTATAAGACATATTGAGAACAACCCTACTGTAATTTCTTATTAGTTCCAGGAGCTGTCTTTACTTTCTAATGTACACAGAAGAACATGTTAAATGGAAGTGGCTCTCATCTTTATATCTGAAAGTCCTAAAATGCAATTTTTTTGTCTGTTTGTTTTTACAGGTTAGTATACCCTCTCTGGAACATTTATCTTAGAGATTTTTAAAAATTATTATTGGAGAATTTTTAGGTCCAGGTGGGCTAATTTTTCTAATCAATTGCTTTCTATATACCAGCAATGAACAAGTGGAACTTGAAATTAAAAACACAACATTATTTAAAATTCCTCAAAATGAAATACTTAGGTATAAATCTAAGAAAGTATGTAGAAGTTACACATGTGGAGAACTCAAATACTCTGATAAAAGACGTGAAAAGAGAACTAAATAAAGATGTTTCCTGTTTGTGTATAGGGAGACTCAATATTGTCAAGATGTCAGTACTTCCCAAATTGATCTATAGATTTGATCAAAATTCCAGTAAGTTATTTTGCAGATACTAAGAAACTTACTATAAAGTTTATATGGAGAAGCAAAAGACCCATAATAGCCAACATGATATTGAAGAACAACAAATTTGGAAGGCTGACACTATTCAACTTCAAGACATACTATAAAGCTCCAGTAATCAGTACAGTGTGGCATTGGTGAAAAAAATGTACAAATAGATCAATGGGATATTATAAAAAACCCAGAATTAGACTATGTAAACATAATCATCTCATATTTGACAAAGGAGCAAAGGCAATAAAATGAAGCAAAGATAGTCTTTGCAACAAATATTGCTGGTATAACTGCACATTTACATGCAAAAAACTGAATCTAGTCAGACCTTATACCTTTTAGAAAAATTAAGTCAAAATGAATCACAGACTTCAATGTATAATGAAACTATAGAATTCCTAAAAGATAACATAGGAGAAAATCTAGGTCACTTTGGGGTCAATGGTGAGTTTTTAAAAAACAACATCAAAAGCATGATCCATGAAAGAAAGAATTGATAAGCTGGACTTCATTAAAATTAAAAGTTTCTGCTCTGCAAAAGACACTGTCAAGATAAGCCACAGACTGGAAGAAAACACTTGCAAAAGATAAACTTCATAAAGAATTATTATCCAAAATATACAAAGTACTCTTAAAACAACAATAAGAACACAGACATCATTAAAAAGCAAGCCAAAGACTGTAATAGACACCTTACCAAATATGGTAACACATGGCAAATAAGCATAAGAAAAACTGCTCAACATCAACATATGTCACTAGAAAAATGCAAATTAAAACAACACTGAGATACCATTACACACCTATTATAAATGGAATGGCCAAAATCCTGAACACTGACAACACCAAATGCTGGCGAGGATGTGGAGCAACAGGAACTCTCATTCATTGTTGGTGGAAATGCAAAATGATATAGCCACTTTGGAGGATACTTTGGTGGTTTCTTACAAAACTAAAATGCTCTTTCCATATAATCCAGCAATCTTTCTCCTTGGCATTTACCCCTCAAAAAGTTGAAGGCTTTTAGTTCACATAAAAACTTGTACACAGGTTTTATAACAACTTAATTATAATTGCCAAAACTTGGAAGCGACCAAGATGTCCTTCAGTAGGTGAATGGATAAACAGTGGTACATCCAGACAATAGAATACTATTCAGCATTAAAAAGAAATGAGCTGTCAAGCCATGAAAAGACATGGAGGAACCTTAAATGCTCATTACTAAGTGTAAGAAGTTAATGTGAAAAGGATATATGCTGTATAATTACAGTATATACCCAACTATATGACATCCTGGGAAAGGCAAAACCATGGAGACAGGGAAAAGAGCAGTAGATGCCAGGGATTGGGCAGAGGCTGGGGGAAGAGAAGCATGAATAGGCAGAGCACAGAGGATTTTTAGGGCAGTGAAATTACTCTGTATGAGACTATAATGGTGGATATATGTCACTGTAAATTTGTCCAAATCCAGAGAGTGAATGTATAACACTAAGAGTGAACCCTAATGTAAGCTATGGACTGTGAGTGATAATGATGTGTCAGTGTGGTTCATCATTGTAACAAATGTACCTCTGGGGGGGACGCTGACACTGGGGGAGGCTATGAGTGTGTGGAGAAGGGAGTACGTGGGAAATTTCTGTACCTTTATCTTAATTTTGCTCTGAAGCTAAAACTGCTCCAAAAAAAAGTCTATTTAAGAAAAAAAAAGTAAAGACATGTTAAAGTGAGGGTATAGAATTGTGGTATACACTTAACAAAGTTAGGTTTTAAACATTCACAATACAATGCAATACATTTTGCTATTCACAAGATAATTAAAAGTTTTATTCTAAAAGTCATAATACCCTGGGGGTCTAGTAATAGGACATAAGTAAAGTTGAACAAGCAGCGCCTTCTTTTTTCAGCCATGTCAATGTATTTCTAACTATATATAACTGCATTTGGAGGTTATAGTTCGAATGTGAATTTGTAGCTCCTCCTATGTGTGAAGCTATATTGTAACAAATTACCATAAACTTAGTACAGTTAAACTTCGTACAACTTAGTGCTTAAAACAATTCAAATACATTATCTTTCAGTTTGGGACATGAGAAGTCTGAAAATGGGTTGGCAGGGCTATATTCTTCTGGAAGCTCTAAGAGAAAAGCTTGTTTCTTTGCTTTTTCTGGCTTCTAGTGGTTGCCTGTATTCCTCTGGCCCTGCGTCATTCTAGTTCTGCTTCCATCTTCACACTCTCCTTCTCTAACGCTGATCTCCATTTTATAAGGACTCTTGCTATTACGCAGAGCCCACCTGGAAAACCCAGGATACTCTCCCCCCTCAAGAGCCTTAACTTAATCACATCTGTAGTGTTTCTTTAGCAATGAAAAGTTACACATTCATAGGTTCTGAAGATATGGACATGGATCTCTTTGGGGAGCCATAATTCCATCTATCACAGAAGCCCTGACCAAAAACTGCTCTAAGAACTTCACCACTCTCCATGCTTTGTATTGTGATACAGTTGGGATTTATTTTTTCTAAACTCTTCAACTGATGTCTTAGAATAGTTATTAGCAACGAATCCCAGAGGATCTCACTTTCTAATTTATGTACTTTCATATGCCTGATGCAGAAAAGATGCTCTCTTAATGTGGCTGCTTTAAGTTGGTATAAAGTAACATGGAAACGACATCTTTTACCCCAACTATGTATAACATAGAACTAATTATATCTATATAAAAAAGATATGGAGGAAAAAATGTTGCTTTATACTGTGTATATCAATGAATACTATAGTCTGCTTTTTTTCAATACAAGTTGATCTGCTAGACATTGACAATATACAGTGTGAAAGATCTAAGAATTCATAGCAAGGAGAGCTAAGTCAGAATATTTGCTCTAAGAACAAAACTAAGTCAATAAAATAAGATTTTGGCTAAAATTCATCAGGTTTAATTATATAAAATTATTCTATAGCAGTTACTATAACAAGGACTTTATTACTATGCTTTTCTTTGCTCAATATTAAATAAAGGAAGAATAGATTTAACTCCATCTTTAGATGAAATAATGAGGCTTAAAGATCAATATTAATAAATAATTTGATTTGCCTTTTTGCTGTCATAAATATACTCATTTACTCATTCATCCATCCAGTTAGTCAACAGATATTTACTGAATGCAGAATATAGGCCAGACACAGGTGTGGTACTGGTGCTACAAAGTCAAGTACTGTCATAAATTTGTTTAATATAGTTGCTACCCCGGCATCCATTTTTAGGCCTGAGGTTAAGCTGTTTGAAACTCAGTTGTACCCTATCACTTTTGTGAACTAGTTAAAACTTCCGGTCCCTGTGTGATGGTTTGTGATAAAGTCGTCTAGTTCCTCATCCCACAGGTGGACCCCAAACCCAACACATTCCACAGCTGGTAACCATGACAAAACCTAACAGTCAACACCAGAGTTATGTAAATAGTTCCCCACCTCCCCAACAACTGTTTCTTTAAATGAGCCAATCCAACCCCATAGTGAAAGCCCAGGGTTTATAAAGCCCATGTACCTTTATAAAGGCATAGCCCCGGAGGTCCTCTATTTCTCTCTCTTCTTTCCACCGTCTGGTTGTGTAGGCTGCTGTCTCTGGGAAGGACTTCTGGTTAGGCTTTGTAGGTGCCCCTCTTCTCTTGTGGATCTTTAAGTAATGAAATACTTCCGTTATCTTATATTTTGCTGTGCTGCCTAATCCAGTGTCTACCTACACACCAAAATACCTAACTTTCCTCCTTGGGCCTGGGCTGCCCCAAAGAGTGCGTATTTTGGGTTATGGCCACTTTCAAGAGAGAGACCTCAAGACCAAATTAGAAAGAAACTATAACAATAAAAGTCGCAAAGCAGCATATTATGACACCAACTTTTCAGCTGAGTCAATAGTCTGAGAAACCTCACCTAGCATAGAAGCTAAACATTAATTATGGTAAAAATAACAAACGTGAAAAATGCTCTCAGTGACTACACAAAAAGCAGAAAATTTTTTATTTTTGTATGCTTTGAACTGAGAAAAATGGGAAAAATAATGGAAATTGGAATATTATAACTGGATAACATTTCCAGTGTTTAAGATTATTTCTTATGAATCTTATATTATCCATTGATAAGATTAATTATGAATTGCAGATAATTATATACTTTAATCATCAATTAATTTAATAAACAAACATTAAGCTAATACATTCTAAGAGTTGGGCACACAATCCAAACCAAAGGTCCCTGCTCTCATGGAGTTTACATTCCAGGAACCTAATACATTGCTCTAGCACTCCAAATACTTAACTATATTTTTATGGTAAACATCCTCTACAAGGACAGTACTAAATAAGGGCAAGATATGCTTCAGGCCTGGAATTCTTCAAATCTGGCTGTACTTCCGTATAAGGGCTTTATGGCTGCTCTGCCTTTAGTTGTGCAATCTTACATAACTTACTTAAACATTCTAACCCCGTTTCTCCCTTTGTAAAAGGGAAATGGCAATCGTTGGGTTCTACTGGGGATTAAAGGAGATGTGTGTAGATTGTTCAGTAACTATTAGTATTGTTTTGGCTCTGTGTTTCCAAAATGTGCCTGCTCATTAGAATCACCTAAGCATATTAAAAAAACTCTAAAGCCTAGGCCACATACCAGACCAATTAAACCCAATGTCTAAGCGTGAGACCCAGGCATCAGGACACGCTCCTCAGGTGGTTGCCATGTGCAGATAAATTGGGGAACCACCGCAGTTTGGATTATTGTGGTTTCATAGCAACACTTGCCAATCCACCTGTCTTTACCGTAGGTGGAACAAGGAAGCCTCGGAGTTTAATGAAATTCAGATAATCCAGGCGCACATGCACCCTCTGTCCACCCTGTGATTCAGATCCATATCTCTTCCAAGTATCTTAAAGAAAGGAATGGGATGGAGTCCTAGCCACTCCCGCATATGCACAGCTGTTAAGTATATGTGATACTTAGGTACTTAAGGAGTGCAGACACTTCCACCTGCGGCGACTGTTGGGTCTGCCCCGGGCACGCCAGCCCTCCCGGGGGCGCTGGGCCGGGGTGCAGAGGCCGTAGCCGCGCGGCGAGGGAAGATCGGCGGCCTCAGCTGCGGCAGCGGCGGCTGTCGGGATCATCCCCCGCGGGCCAGCAGCGGTGGGGCCCGCGGCTCAGCCGGGCGCCTTTCGCCTGCGCGCTCCGCGTCCCTCCCTCTTGTCCGCCCGCCACTCCGCGACCCGGGCCGAGGGCTGGAGCAGCGCCGAGCGCTTGGGTCCGGGGCGAGCGGGACCCGTCGCGCCGGCCGCCATGGAGCCTGGGCCACTCGGCGGCTCCAGGCCCGCCGAGCGGAGGCCTTGCCTGAGCAGCCGGCTCGGCGCAGACCGGGCGGCTTCGGCCTCCTTGCTGAGCGCGGCCGGGGCCGAGCCAGGGCGCCGCCCGCTCGCTGTGGCAGCCGTGCTACCGGCGGGGGGGTGCGGGGAGAGGATGGGCGTCCCCACCCCGAAGCAGTTCTGCCCCATCCTGGAGCGGCCGCTCATCAGCTACACCCTGCAGGCCCTGGAGAGGTAATGCGGCGCCGGCGCGCCCCGCGCTCCCCACAGCTTGGGGCCGGGCCTCGCGCTCCCCGCCCTGCGGCTGCTCTCGCGCTGGCGCCTTCACCTCAGGGCCGGCCGGGCCGGCATCCCCGGGCTCAGTTACTCAAGCTTGAGCTCCGTCTCCTCGGCCTTTAACAGATGGGCACGGAAGTGGAGCCACCCACAGAGCTCTTTACGTACCCTAGCAGCTAAGGCGGTGGGGAAGGCCCGGCATGTGGCGCTGCCTCAGCGCATGCCGGGGTCGGGTCGAGAGACTTTGAGTTCTCGCCGTGGCCCCTGTGGGGCCCAGTGAGAAGCTGCTCTAGGAGTGTCCCGGGCTCTGTCTCCGCGCATGCGTGGGTGGAGTTGTATTTGAAGCTCAGCTATAATGGTTTTGAGGGTATTTGTTCATTCTTTGACAAACGTTTACTGAGCACCTAGTATGAGACAGACTGATAAATTACTTAGAGAGAGAGAGGAGCAGAATTCCAACAGTTCAATAACGAAAACAGATTTAAGCCTGAAATTGAGGCCAGCACACCCTTTATCATCTTAAAAAGGGATTGAAGTTAACTAGTTGGGGAAATGAAAGAGGCAGGGGGAATGGGATTAGAAGGACTAGGGGAGCAGTAGTGAGCTAAGGAAAAGGAGGGGTACTTCATTTTTATTAACTTTACTTTTTTGTTTGTTTAAGCACCGGACTAATGTGATGGAGAGCATGGGGTGAGGGTGCAGGGGTGGGAAGCAGTGGGATTACAAAGGTCCACGTGGTTTTGCTAAGGTGCTTAAACTTCTTGAAGCCAGCGGGAAGCTGTGGTAGTATGTTAAATTCTGGATTGAAGTGAACCGTTTGCATGTCCAGATAGGTGGCATCCTTTAGCATATGGCCTTTTCAGGAAGCTTTGATGAAAACCAAGCTAGGGAGGTTCCAAGGGAAGTGCCATGTGATCCAGAAAGGAGCCCCACACAAACCCTTAAACACTTCGGAAGCCAAAGGGCCCAGGTTTTTTTATTTTCTGAATATTGTTGGCATTTGGAAAATGGAAGCGTAAAGAGCTAGCCATATTCACCCCTGATTTATGTAATCAGGCCAGTAGTTACATATGAAACTCATATAAACTTTGAAACAATTCCAGTTATTACCTCTGTTCTGTGTTCTTCCATTTCTTTGGGTAGTGGTGGCAGAAGGTCCCTGAAACCATCCTATGAATTGCGCACCGACAATATTCCAGTGCCATAGACTTTGTGGCAACATAGTTCATACATGGAGGTAATGCCAGGGGCACAAAGGATCTTGGCTAGCAGCATCTTTATCTACTTAGTAATTAGATATAAGGGATGGCAGTCATTTTTACACTTTCCTTCCCATGGGGCGGGTGGGGGGGGAAGCTTTTATATTAACTGACATTTTTGCATCTTCTGAGGCAAAAGAGGTGGACAGTTGAAAGTCTTACCTTTAAAGTAAAAGAATGTTTGGAAAGCCCCTGTTTATGGAAAATAAGGTGAGAGAACACTTGTTTTCCAATGTTACATAATTGATAACAGCAATCATAAAATCCTAACTAATAAAAATAGTAACTAACCAATATCTCCATTCTGGGATAACTTAGGGCTCATTTTTGTCACTATTGTAATGCCTGAAGAATTTATGGAATGTGATTATATGTTGGGTAATCCAAGTAAATCCTTGGAAGCCTTGCATTATGGAGAGGTATGGGTGCTTTTTGGCCATTTGCCAAATAGAGGCCCTTATCTCTTTTTATTCCTCACTCTCAAAAGATGGGCCCAACAGACTGCTGATAGTTTTCCTAGGGTATGGTGCCAAAGTCCTTAGCCCTTTCATCCCAAAAGATAAACTGTATAAGTTTAAAATAAGGAAGGGATATAGAAACGTATTGTCTTATATAACTATTTTTGGCTCAGTTGAAACATGCTTACTACTTAAAGAAAAACAACAGCTCTTTTTGTCCCAAATAAAAAGTAATTGGATGTCATTGTTGTCAGTCATCTAGATTATACTGAGAGGTGTTATTTCTTGCCCTTTAAGAGCTCTATGTGATGCCCAAATTTGACGTTAAAGTCATTATTTTTGCTCATCATAATTAAGATTTTTCTTTGCTCAAGTTTTGCTATTTCACTTACAGAGGGTTGAGAAGTTGTGACTTTTTTTTTTTAAGCTATTCTCCTCTAAGAAATTAAAGATACTTGTTGAAAATAACTCTTATGGGTTAACTTGTCTTTTGGATTTTTAAATCAACATAAAATTAATTAGGGCCTAGGAAAGAGAAGAGGGTGACCCCTGAACTTGGCCCCAAATTCCTAAATTGGGATAGGAAAATACAAAGAAACATGACCAGTCTTGCTTCCAGTTAAACATTGCCATTTAAATATGGTTTTTGTTTGTTTCCCAACTCCTTCACATATCCACATAAAGGAACTAAAAATGTATAGCCACACAAGGGTGAAATGAATGAGAGGAAGAGTAGCAGATAAATACCAACAAAACTCAGGATGGTAGAAAGGAGACAGAAGGGATAACTAATCAGATTTAACAGACCCAATAAAACAAAACCATAAGGACAGGTAGGACAGCCATGAAGAAGTAAGTTAAAGTCATAGGACCTTGGAAAAGTATAAGAATTAGAGGCACAGAGTATCCCTGAAGGTGGGGTAGACAGTGAAAAGAGGACAACTGATTGAAACTTTCCAAAGGAATGTTTAGACTCCCAGATCTCTGGCAGATACTGACATTTAGTCTCTGGCTCAGAACCAGTGCAGCTAATGGCCAGAGTGAGATGTTCCTATGGCAGTGGGGGAATTGACAGACTACATTTTGAGACGGTGCTATCCTTAGCCCCTAAGGTAGATGACTCAAGCAAGTTTTCCTCTTTTCAAACATGACAATATATTAAAGTAACTATTCTATAATGGAACACTTGGAGGAGGCATTGAAAGAATATCCATTTTGTGAATGGGGACTTCAGATCACCTGTCTCTTTCCTTCTGGCAAAATTGGGAAATCCATGTTTTTCTGGTTTAGCCAAGTTCTACTCTGCTCCATTGAAATTGCTTAAAAAAATAATTATCAGATTAAATGAGATTCAAAAGTAGCTCTGAGCCTTCCAGTATCTGAGGTATGTTGACTAAAGGCTCTGTTTGGGAAAATGGAGGTTTACAGTTTAAGTATATCAAAATTATATGTGTGGCTGTATTTATATATTGTGATTAACCATTGTTTATATATGTGTAGACATGTATAAGTATATATGGGTATGTTTGTAGGTTCATATACTATATTCTTTATTTTTAAGAGTATACAACTGATAGTTGAGATTTGTGCATTACGGGTTTAACTAGAAGGATCAAATATAACAACCGATTTCTAGGTTGTACTAGAAACAAGACCCTTTCAGCAGTTGACCAAAAATGTTTCTAGGATTTTGAAGTTTTATTTTGGCCTTTTCGGGGAATTGAAATATAATTATTAGACTCCAGGTTATACCTTAAAAAGAATTTGGGTTTTCTCACTTTATTAACAAGGAACTGATATCAGGGTTCCCTTTCATAACTATTACTTTGTGACCTGAGTTTTTACAAAGAAATGTTGCTTTAAGAAATGATGCGGTAGTGGTATTGACAAGGCATAAAGCTCTGACAATTAAGCTGCAAAATTTATTCACAATTGATCAACTCATGTATTTAAATTTGACTGTTTAAAAAATGTATTCTCTAGATCTGAAGTAGGAAGTAAAAATTCCTGCCAGTAATTTAATTTTATAGCTTAAACTATATAAAGAAAATGTTACTGGGAGTGGAGGGGTTGGTCAACCTGGAATAGCTGAAAAGTAGATTAAAATGACAACTACAACAAAAGCAAATAAGAGAAGCAAACCTTGGCCATGCTTATTCAGACTTGGTGGTAGGCTGGGTGAAGGTGGGAATTCCTGTCGATGGATTTGAACAAGCTCTGGCAGGGTTTTCCCCATAGCCCATGAGGTTTCTTGCGCAGAAGACACTGCTAAAGATAATTTGTTACTTTCTATGTTTTCCTGCTCCTCAAATCTTATTACAATTTGGCGCCCCATATAAATCTTCTACAGGAAGGTGTGATGTTCCATTGATTAAAAAACATTCCAGACTTTGTTGTAGTAGCGTGTGTCATTGTATAATAAAATCCTGGCATTTTAATCTATGTTTTAGTACCTTTTCAGTTTGGCAAGAGTGACTTAGTTTCCTTGTGTCTGACAACTCAAGGTAAATTTGGGGAGAAAAAACAGTTTTGTAGGTCTATATTTATATTATGGAAACTCAATGTGATTGGATTGTTGTATTGCTTGGAAAATCAATGGAGGTCCATGTTTAGTTGTTTGAAACTCCATGGTATGTTTTTTCAGTGCATTATAGCTCATTTTCTTAGTTTTCTCTTTTTCTTCAGTTTTTTTTTTGTTGGGTACTTTAAAAAATTCTACCTTATTTCTGAAAACCACTGCAAATTCTGTTGAACAAAGAACACTACAAATTTGTAAATGCTAGCCCAAGTGAACAAGGCGGAACATTTAAATTAAGCTGAGAATAATAAAAATGGGGTAGGGAAGATAGGAGAAATATTGAGGAGGTAGTATTAACAAGTCTTAGTGATTAACTGGATTAGGGATTCATAAAGAGAAACGTGTTGAGGATGTTTTTAGTTCAGTGGTCAGTTAGATGAATTTGACTTAAGACAAAAATTTAAGACTCTTTTAATATTATAGAAGGGTGGAGTCTGAGGCAAGGAGAGGAATAGGACTGCTGTGTTTTGTACAGGTCAAATGATTAGAGATTTGTGTCATGTTCCTAAACGCCCCCATGGGACTCCTTCAAAACAAGATATAAGACCAAGACAGGTAGGCTGAGGCTTGACATATGCAAGCCTTCATGGGCCATAGTAAGGAGGCTTAACATTGCCAAAGAATCAGGAGCCAGCCCTGTCACACCAATTCAGTATTTTGCTGCTAAAACATCAGGGTGGGTATGGAGAGATGGGAATATACAAATTATGACCCCAGTATAATCCAGAGGCCAAATTTCCATGAAGGCTGTCGTGGTAGTGAGCAGCAGCTGCCACTGTCCTTTTGAGGCCAAACTTCTGCAGACTAGATGGGAGTGCTTTAGAGGTGTTAACAGGGCCTGATTTTTCCCATCTGTTTTTTAAAGCATTTGCTAAAACGGTCTGTTCTCAACTGATCTTTTAAAACTGTCTGAGCAGTGTATTCCTGTAAGTAATATTTATGTTATTCCAAGAGAAAATAACTTGAGATATTATATTTCTTCCTCAAAATGTCTGTTGTAATGGAGCTTGGGGCTAGGCTTGCATTTGCTTATGGAATGTGCTAGGAAGGAAATACTTGATAGAATCAGGCTGCTGGGGCTTTGGTGTGGACTTGTCTTCAGTTAAGAGATGAACTAGATCCCTTTATTCAGCAAATATTTGATTGGTAGGCACTGTGTGAGGTATTTAAGATCTTTTTCAGTCCCATGATTTCTACATTATTAAATTTTAATACTGTAAAAGGCTTTTAATTCTATAACTAGAAAAGAATGTGAATAAATCCTCTGAAATACAAACAGTACTTATAAAGGCTTGCAAATACTGGGTGTATGCTTGGTTACTGACTAAAATAGCTTAATAAGCCTGTTATCTCTTAAGAGTGGTCTAAAACAATG